GCAGTGCAGCCAGAGAACCCCAGGGTGGGAGCCAGAACCCAAGCTGCCTCACTACCTGACACAGAAAAGCCATCTGCAGTAAACACTATGAAGCATACGGAGAAACAGGCTGTGGGACCCACACTCAAAGGGAAAAGCAGCCAACAAAACAGGTGAGGGGCCCTGCAGAGCAGCCGCTTGAAGTGTGTTCAAAGGATCAAGGGAAGGTAAAATGCCAGTCACTCAGATAGTATCAGTAAGAAAGGAAACCACACAGAAGTGCCAAATAGAGATTCGGGAGTTAGCAATACCATGACTGGAACGGAAATCTCAGAAAATCAACATGTGCATATCTGAGAAGGGAGAGTAACAAGTCATCAACCTGAAGACAGGTGGGCAGAAACTAACCAACCTGAGGAACAGAGACAAACACTCACCAGCACCTCAGAGACCAGTGGGACAGCCTCAAGTGTGCCAACATATGTGTAATGGGAGTCCCCCAAGGAGAGGTGAGCAAGCAGGGGACAGAAAAAAAAATCTGAAGGGTAGCCAGAGACGTCAAAAACTGGCTTACAAACAAACAAACATTCATGTATAGATCCAAGAATCTCAACCCCCAATAGAAGAACAACAGATGTACACTTAGATGCATTACAGTTCAAGTGTTGAGACAAAGAGAACTTTGAAAGCAGCAAGAATGAACCAACTCGGCACCATTCTTGTAAGATTACCAGCTGATCTCTCCTCAGAGGCGATGGAGCCAAGAGGCATGGAATGACACAGTCAAGGGCTAAAAGATAAAACAGTCAACCAGCAGTTCTCTACGCAGCAAGTCTATCCATCAAGATGACGGTGACAAATAAGCACTGAGAGAACTCCCTGCTAGCAGCTTTACAGGAGGTACCAGAGAAAATCCTTCACTCTGAAACTATGACACCACAGAGTGAAATGAAAAGTACCAAACCGAAACCCACTGCCATCTAGTCAGATCCAACTCACAGCGACCCCTCCTTGGGTTTCTGAGGCAGTATCACTATGAAGTAGATTGCCCAACCTTCCTTGCGAAGAGTGGCTGGTGGGTCTGAACCACTAGTCCTCTGGTTAGCAGTTAAATGCCTTAGGCACTATGCTACCAGAGGTCCTGATGAAAAGTACCAGGAATAGTAAATATGTGGGTTAACAGAAAAGATTCTAAAAAGATTTGATGCTTTTTTAATCTCTTTTAAAGGAGTAAGATGTATAAAGTAGGAACTGTAATGCTATGTTGTTATGTTTATAATATACAGAAATAAACGACAGTAACAGGACAAAGGAAGGGGGAAATAAGGCTAAAATGCAATAAAATTGTTCTATTTTACTGGAATTAATGAGTATTTACTTGTTACAACTGAATTCCAGTTCAGATGCCCTTGTGACATAGTAGTTAAGCACTTGGCTACTAACCAAAAGGACAGCAGTTCAAACCCACCAGTCATTCATTCTATGGGAGAAAGACATGGTAGACTGCTTCTGTAAAGACTAACAGCCATGGAAACCCTATGGGGCAATTCCACTTTGTCCTCTAGGGGTGCTGTGAGTCAGCATCAATTCGACACCAGTGGCTTTTCGTGGTTGAGCAATCATTAAGAAACAACTACAAATATTATCATCACTTTGAAGACTCAAGTGCACCTGACTTGAGCATGGTATTTTCAGTTGCCTCATATGCATGGGAGAGCTGGACAATGAACAAGCAAGACTGCAGAAGAACTGAAACCTCTGAGTTCTGGCGCTGGCAAAGAATACGGAATATGCCATGGACTGCCAGAAGAAGGAACAAATCTGTCTCAGAAGAAGTACAGCCGGAATGTCCCACAGAAGTGAGGACAGTTGTACGCTGTCTCTTGTACTTTGGTCATGTTGTCAGGAGGGACCAGTCCTTGGAGAAGGACAGCATGCTTGGTAAAGTAAGATGGTCAGCTAAAAGAGAAGACCCTCAATGAGATGGACTGAAACGGTGGCTGCAATAATGGGCTCAAGTACAGCAGTGACTGTGAGGACGGCCCAGGATTGGGCAGTGTCCCCTTCTATTGACATGGGGTCTCTAGGAGTCGGAACCGACTTGACAGCACCTATCAACGACACTACAGTGGAATCACAGAAATGCTGGATAACTGGGTGGTGGTGATGGTTGCAAAATATCAATTTTCTAGAGTCACTGACTTGTTTTAGAAAAAGAAAACCCACCCAGTCTACAGCATAACGAGTCAGGATCCAGGTGCCTTGTTGTGGGTAAATGACAGTGGCTGCAGGCAGACAAAAGGGTGCTCTGGCACTGGACCTCGTCCCTTGCCATTCTGTGGACATGCACTGGGCTGGGCACGCTGTGGCCCTACAGCTCCCCCCATGTTTGTGGGAGGAGATTATCCTGCTGTCATCAGAAGCTGCCTGCTTCCCAACCAGCGCAGCACACGCTCTCCAGGCAAGGATGGCCTGCCACTACTCTGGCAGGGCTCTCTGAGAAGGGTGCTGGACACCACCTGTGCTCCTCACTTCTAGTCTCACTCTTCTTCCCTGCTCTGGGGCCCTCAGGACTGACCTGTAGGGGCTACACCCCTGGAAGCCCTTGCTCTCTGGATTCTGGTTAGGTCTGGCCAATGGGAGTCCTATCAAGAGGTGAGAGGGAGGCAAGGAGGTAAGTCAGGACGCTTCTCCCTGCTGCTCCCAGGCTCAACAGAGGGCCCAGACCCTATAAATTACCCCCTCCGCCTCCAGGCCCCCAGTTCCTCTCCTTGCCTCCAAGACATTCCATTGTGTAGAGCTCCAAGGCACTGCAGTGCCCCACCCACACTTTGTGAAACTGACCCAATTTGAGAATTTCAACTGCTTCCTGACTGGGTCCTGACTGGCATCCAATGGGGCACCTAGATGTTGCCTGGGGTACTGGAATCTACTTCAGATGCTCAAGCTGTCATCTCCTGACCATTCAGAACACCACAAAACAGCTGACCAAGCTCAAGAGGGAAGGAAAGGCACCCATGCCACCACACAACTTACCCTAGAAGTTTCTGACGAGCGTTATCCTGTAACTGAGCAATTCTTTCCGGCCCAAGATTCTTAGATCCATTTGGTCCATCACATATCAGCTTGTTAATAGCTGCCCTGAGAATATTAACCTGTAGACAAATGGTAACATAAATACCCACATGGTTCCATCGTAAGCTGATGAAATGTGGGATGATAACAACTCAGTCAGAGTTAGTGTCTGAGAAACGGTTGAAGCAGGAGCATCCGAAACTGTCCAACTTCAGGGAGTTACTGCTAATCGAGACCAGCCCAGGGTGATTCCCGTGAAGCAGCAGACATGCCACCCCCTCCAACCTTTTTACCAGTTGTCACATCGGCTGCCCTCCCATGGCACCCTACTTCTCTGTTCCAATGGCCACACAAAACTTACACCTCACACCTACAGGTAAGTGGTTCGTTAAGGTAAGAGGCACCCTACTTCTCTGTTCCAATGGCCACACAAAACTCACACTCCACACCTACAGGTAAGTGGTTCGTTAAGGTAGTAAGAGGCTACAACTCAGGATCAGGAAGCCCACAGCCCAAGTCTGGAAGGCTGCCCTGAAGACAGAGCTCATTCCTCCAGTCTTCACTTCAGGACAGCCCTCTCTGCTCCTCTTGGCCACGCAAGCAACCAGGCCCTCCTCTGGGCCCTCTCAGGATGCGCCTCCTCTGAGGACAGGCCTCCTCTCAGGACACGCCTCCTGTCAGGACACACCCCCTCTCAGCCCTCTGAGGACACACCACCTTCTCAGGACACACCCCCTTCTCAGCCTCTCAGGACATGCCTTTTCTCAGGACACACGCCCTCTCAGCCCTCTCAATATAGGCATCTTAGCCCCTAAGCCAGGACTCTCTGCCTGTGGCCCTCCTGCCCTCACTACTGAGTCTGGCAGAGGGCTCCTTCTGGGCCTCTCACTGTCTTCAGTATGACAGCCCTTTACCCAAGTTATACCTCTTTCAGGAAGGTCCTTGCCTCCACTCTTCTTCCTTCTGTACCCCATCTGAAAAATGTCTGTGAGGTTGGCTGTACATATACATGAACTTCTCACCAATGTCAAAGCATGGTTCTCCACACCATGAACTGACCAGTCACTTCTTGGCAAGCCAAAACACCTACCTTATTTGCATAGCAGGCTACAGTCACTTCATTTACCTAACAGTCACTTCATTTGCCTGTTATACTGACCAATCCCTGCTAGGGTCATACTAATCACAGGACACGCTGCAGCCCGAGACCAAACAAAGTATGTCGAGATGGTATTAAAACAAAAATAACCACTATCATAGCTTAAAAAACAATAACAAAAGAATTTAAACCAGCAAGAAAGGTTCGGACTTGTAAGCATGAGCTCACTTCCTGAAGTTCTACCTCCCAATCTAACACAGTTTAACTTGAGGGGCTACACATCTCTAACCTGCTAGGACCGCAGCTGCTCCCTGGACTTCATACTGTCACATGACAGCCTGGAGAGGACGCCCACCACAGGGGTACATACAACACGCTCTGCTGAGTTTCCTGTCCTTGTCAGAGTTTCTAACATTAACTTTGTTTATTTTTTAAGTATTTTTTCATATTTTTAAAAGTTATGGAAAAACTATAAAGACAGGTCAGCGAGCTGTCCAACTTCCCCTAATGCTACCCTGGGACACACGTCCAAACCAAGACACCCTCCTAGGTACAGTCCTGAGAACTGAATTTGTCCTCCTTCCGGTCCAGGGCCAACTTCCGGCACCACACTGCTCTCATTCCCGTTTCCTCTGGTCTGGGCCTGGTCCACAGCCTTCTCAGGGTTTTTAATCTTGACAGTTGAGAGGTGTTCCAGTTTGGCATCTTGTAGAACATCCCCTGTGGTGGTTACCTTTGTGTGTCAACTTGGCTGGGCCTGGCTCAGAGGCTGAGCAGCTGGTGGTAGTTATTCTCCATGATGAGACTGGCAATCAACTCCATAGTGGGATCTAGCATAAGCAGCTGAGTAGCTGCCTTTGGGATGTGGTCTGCTTCCTGTATATAAGCAGCAGCTTTGAGAATGGTATCTAGCTTATGGCACTTTGAACCCTGCATGTAGCTGTGTCATTGTTCAGTAGCCTGCCATGCTCTGCAGACTTTGGGATTTACAATGAACTTGAATTAAGGGCTGCCATGTGGTTTGTTAACATCAGGACTGTGCCTTTTTACTTGTCAACCTTGGGCTTGGCAGCCTCAGCAGCCAGCAGCTGAATAAAGAAAAGCCTCTCGCTCCAGTGGGCCGGGAGCAGGAGGCAGAGCTGAAGCCAAGGCTGAGGGGCTTTCACCCAGCCCCTAGAGCCCAGCACTTTTAACTTGGACTTAAAGCCTCCAAACTGTAAGAGAATAAACTCCTGTTTGCTGAGGCCATCCCATTTGTGGTATATTCCTCTCAGAGCAGCACTAGGGAACCAGAACATCCCCTAATTTGTGTCAGTCTAACGTTTTTCTCATGGTCAGAATGGGGTTCCGGGAAGAAGACCTCAGTGCATGTGCCCTTATCAGTGCATTGGTCAGGAGGTACATGGTATCACAGGGAGATTACCTTCATCATCCAGTTCCCATGATGCCAGAGAGGTTTCTTCAACATCAGTTCCTCTTTTTCCCTTTCACTTCTCTACTGTCTGGAAGTGCATCACTGTGTCTAGCTCACCATCTGGTTATTGCTGTTAGTGGTCATCCAGTTGTACTGACTCAGAGCGACCCTTCGTACAACAGAGCAAAACACTGCCCGCTCCTGCACGTCCTCACCACCACTGCTATGCTGCAGGCCGCTGTTGCAGACACTGTATCAGTCTATCCTGTGGAAGGTCGAATTCTCCTTCACTGACCTTCTGCTTAACTAAGCATGATGTCCTTCTCCAGGCACTGATTCCTCCAGACAACATGTCCACAGCACATGAAACAAAGTCTCAGCATCCTCACTTCTAAGAAGCATGCCAGCTGTACTTGTTCCAAGACAGAGTTGTTCATTCTTTTGTCAGTCCATGGTATAGTCAACACTCTTCACCAACACCATAATTCAGTTGTATCAACTCTTTGGCCTTCCTTATTCACTGTCCACCTTTCACATGCCTATGATGTGACTGAATACAAAATGGCTTGGGTCAGGTGCATCTTAGTCCTCAAAGTGCCAGCTCTGCTTTTTAATTCTTTAAAGAAGTCTCTTCCTGCAGATCTGCCCAATACAACATGTTTGAATTCCTGACTGCCACTTCCATGGATGTTGAATGTAGACTCAAGTAAGATGAAATCCTTGACAGATTCATTTTTCTCCATTAATCATGCTGCTGCTTACTGGTCCAGCTGTGAGGATTTTTGTTTTATGTTGAGGTGTAATCCATACTGAAAGCTGTAATCTTTGATCTTCATCAGTAAGTGCTTCTAGTCTTTACTTTCAGCAAGCAAGGTTGTGTCACCTGTGCATCACAGGCAGTTAATGAGTCTTCCTTCCAGCCTGACGCTGCATTCTTCTTCATATAGTCCAGCTTCTCTTATTTGCTCAGCATACAGACTGAATACATATGGTGAAAGGATAACCCTGACACACACCCTTCCTGATTTTAAACATGCAGTGTCCCCTTGTTCTGTCTGAACGACAGCCTCTTGGTCTATGTACCAATTCCTCATAAACACAACTAAGTGTTCTGGAATTCCCACTCTTCACAACGTTATCCATAATTTGTTACGATCTACACAGTCAAATGCCTTTGCATAATAAAACACAGGTAAACATCTTTCTAGCATTCTTCGCTTTCAGCCAAGATCCATCCGACATAAGCAATGATATTCCTAATTCCATGTCTTCTGAATCCAGCTTGCATTTCTGGAAGTTTCCTGTCAATATACTGCTGCAATCATTGCTGAATTATTTTCAGCAAAATTTTACTTGCATGGGATAGCAATGATATTGTTCAGATTCAGAGAGAAGTGAGCAGAGAAAGGAGAACCCTACCATCAACAAGAAAGAAAAGCCGAGAGCAGAGTGTGCCCTTTGGACCTGGCATCCCTGCTGTGAGAACCTCCTAAACCCAGGGGAAGACTGATGCCAAGATACATAGAGATCTCCAAGGAATGCCGGGCTCACAGTGAATGGAGACAAGGACCTTCCCCCACAGCCATGGGAGAGAGAGCCTTCCTAGAGCCGGCACTTGAATCTGACTTCCCACACTGTGAGAGAATACATTTGTCAGTGAAAGCCACACACCTGTGCCATTTCTCACAGCAGCACTGAGCACTAAGACAGAGCCCTGACGCTTCCCCATACGTGCTGTTTCTATCCATCTCGGTCTGCGTTCAGGTGAGCTTCCATCCCTGGGACATCTCTGACAGGGATCCAGCACAGCAGGGCTCAGTCTAGCTTCCTTTCACCTTCCCTTCCTGCTTACCTGCAACTACCCTCTCTGCAACTACCTAGTTACCTGTCTGCTGAGCCCCAGTCTACATGTAACCCACCACAATGCTGTCAAGTCCGATTCACAGCACCCTCAGAGGACAGAGCAGGGCTGCCCAATCTCTACAGAAGCAGCCTCCCTCACCTTTCTCCCGTGGAACAGCTGGTGGGTTTGAACTGCTGACCTTTGGGTTAGCAGCCCAATGCTTTAACCACAGCACCTCCAGAGCCCCCTGCCTACACAGAAAGCAGTCTGAGATTGTTAACCTGCACTGCTACAGGAAACAGCCTCGCCAGCGGGGGACAGTGCTGACACGCACACCCTTGTCTTCAGCCTTGCTGGTTGCAGTCAGTCCCCATTTCCCAAAGCTCCATGCTTTCTCATCCCTTCAATGCAACGAAGTCGCACATTTGTATGACAGTCAGGTTCCTTTGTCACAGAACACTTACCACCCCAGGATCCCTGACACTGGTGTGGTGTGAGTGTGAGAGAGGTGAGCCTGCATGCCTTAGGGCTCAACTGCTTATGGTATATACTTCCGTGGGTTTCAACTAAAGCACCCATTCCTTCACCCCAAAAGTTCCCCTGTGCATAAACACTCATCCTTAGCCCAGACCAGCACCGGCATCACCCACAGGCTGTGCTCTGGGGAGCACTTCTCCAGAGTGTGTCTGAACCTCATTGTCAGCCAGCACCTACCCGTCAGCCAGGAACCCCACCTGTGACTGGGAGGAGGTGAAGGGGGTGGCAGGACCTATGTCCTTGTTTCCTAATATTAACCAGCAAAGGTGCTCAATTAGCTTTGATTTGCACCGAAACAGATTCTCAATGTCCTATGGCCCTAGTGTTCAATTCAACTGCACAGAAAACTCTAGTGGACCAGGAAAGAGAGAGTGTGAAGTCGGAGAGTACTGTCCCCACCAGGAAGACACTTCTCACAGAAAAGAGAAGTTAGTGGCATGTGAAGGGGGATCTCCGCACTGGGCAGCAGAGGGCACTAAGGAGAGGGCACCACAGGGCCCAAGCTGCCCGTCTGAATCTAGGGGACCACACCTGCAGCGCCTTGGGTTTCCTTATGTGTGGCCTTTCTGGACTTGGGCTTATAATCCTCCCCAAAACGACTGGCAGGGCCGCTATACTGAAAGGGACTGGTCTAGTATATCGTGCAAATAGGACACAAAAACCACCCAACTGGATGAAGCAACCTTGTGCAAACAGGTAGATTAGAACACAAACCAAGCGAGTGTGCTCTGCTCAGGAGACTGGTCAGTTCACGGCCAGCTGGGAGGGCTATGCCTTAAAGCCAATCTCACAGAGGTCAGGGGAAACTGCACTACCCCCAAGAAGGGCCTGGAAGGGCGTGTCCTTTGGACCCAGGATCCCTGCACTGAGAACCTTCTATACTTGAGACAGAGAGAGAGAAAGAACACAAGAGACAGAGCGAGCTGTACCACTGGAGACGGGATGAGACTGAGAAACGGCAGCAACCACAGCGGAGCCCAGCGCCGGGGAGAAGACAGCAGAAGCACGAGCAGCAAGAACCAGAGGGCTGGCTGGCGGCTGCGGTGGGCTTCCCGGCCCATGCCACGGGGCTGGCAGACTGCTGCGGTGGGGTTCCCAACCCACACCATGGGACTGGCCAGTGGCTGCAGTGGGCTTCCTGCCCCATAGAGCAGGTGGCTCCTGGAGTGAGAAAGCCAAGAGCCTTCAGGCAGGAGGCCTGCTGCAGAGTGGGATGCCTGGGGGCACTGTCAGAGAAGCTAAAGGGTTAACACTTTCCTGAGCAGGGCAGAGGCCTAGCAAGGGCCCACAGGCTGGCATGGCCAAGAGAAGGGTGTTGGTTGGCACACTGAGAGAAGGGACCACCTTCAGGCATGGCTGAGGAAGAGATGAGAGTCACTTTGGTTCAAAACTGTCCTGAATGATGAACTGTGCCCTGTCTCCTGAGCTGTACCCTGTTACCACCAAGTTAATCCTGACACTGAGTTGTAGCCTGTTACTTTCCAACAAACTACCTAAACGTTTATGGTCTGTGAGTTCCATGTGACCACTGTAACGAATTACTGAACCCAACAGAGAAGGAGAGTGTTGGGGGGCGGGGGGCGCACACAGGTATCAGAAACAGTGACAAAGTTAGAAGGTGGTACGTCTGACCCCCACCTCACAGGAATCCATTTTGTGTCAGCCTTGATTGTCTTCTCTCCTTGTGAACGCAGACAGGCTCAGACACTAATTACAGCACCAGACACCATACTCACCGTTAGGTGAGCGTGTGGGCAAGCCGAGAGGGGAGGGGCGAAAACTGGCACACTGTGCCAAGTCCGTCGGCATTACCTCCACAATATCCTCCATGGTGAACTGGACATCGAACGCGAGCTCAATGTCGTGCTCTGGCAGGATGGGGGTTCCGGTAGTTGGGTTCCAGCCCAAACCACAGAGGACCCCGGTATAGCCTTTTCCATCCTGATCAACCCTAAATGGAAGATTTGAGAAGAGTTAGTACCTCAAAATTGTCAAACGACTGTAACGCATGTCTGAACAGGGCAGAGGCCAGGCCAGCCCAGGAGGCCAAGGGCCAGGGGAAGGCCTGACCGATAAACTATGTCCTGAGTCGTGCCTGATCCTGAACAGCAGTAACCTGTCGTTTCCCTGATAAACCCATAATCGTGGGTATTGTCTAGGAGTTGTGTGTGATCACTGCAACAAACTACTGCACCCAGCAGAGAGGTGGAGAGGGCCAGGGAGGGCAAGCTGGAGCGAGAATCAGCAAGAAGACTGGACCAAGGAGACAGCTATCACAGGAAGCAATCTGCCACAGGCCGTGAGTGCTGATAAAGATTCTCCTGGCCCCTCATGAAGGCCAATGCGGGGCTGCGATGCCCATCCCCCAGCAGGGTTACGGTTTCTCGATCTCTCCGCAGCAGAGACTGCCACATCTCCGTGATGTAGAGAAGACTCATACGGAGCATCCCCCGCCTCAGAATCCTTTCTGTGGGCTACATTCTAATTAGTAGTGCTTCTGAAGAAGAGGCTGCACACACATTTGTAACTTGTGAAAAGAGCAAGCACTTAGTAAGAGCTTCCAAGATTTCTGTTCCATCTCCCCACCCTAAAAGAACTGTACAAATTTATGACTTTTTCTTTTTGCCAATTTTACCAGAACTTGCAACCCCCCTGCAGTGCCCTGTCACGCCCCTCTCTGAAAGGTGTACAGTGACTAGTCCTTGCCGGCTCTACCGCCACCAACCTGGCCCAAGTCACCCTGTGTAACCACCAGGCCACCAACGAGTCACCTCGACTCACACGTTAACTTCCCACATCTACTCCTGCCTCTTCAGATCCACCTTCCATGTGCACATGCCATTAGCTTTGAAAACAAGCCAGTGGTGTTCCCTCCCTGTTTACAGGTTGTCGGCACTCCGCCACCACACCCCAACTAGACTAAAGGGTGTACTTGTGATGGGCCAACAAGCCGAGGGGTGACTCGTCCCTGCTCAGCTCCACACGTCTCCTCAGACCGCGTTCTTACCTCAGCCTCCCTCATGTGCCCCTCCAGCCAGGACACTCCCTTCCTAGCACCAACTCTTCCCCAGCCAGACAAGGGCCCCAGAGCCCCACCCCCAGGACCCTTCAGGTCCCACCCACCCACCAGGCTCTTTCCCGTCTCTGGTGTTAGTTTAAATGCCAGGGCCACAACCCATAAGAGGCTCAACAGGTGCAGTGTAGTAAATTACTTTGTGTGGCTTTTCTACCCTTAAGTCTTTGTAAACTCCAAGGTGGGATTTGCTAAGAGCAACTGAGGAGCTCCTGATTGCTGAAGGTGTCCACCTGGAATATTTCTGTTGGGAGTGGCACAAAACAATGTTCTGGGAGGTGCCCACTCTCTCTCAGGTGCTTAGAGTTCTGATGCTATAATTGGCTAGTTTGACCACCCTGCCGGGCTCAAAAGGAGGCCTCCTAGAGGCAGAACTCTCTCTGACTGCTGGTTGAGGAAGACGTGCTGCTGAAAGAGACATGGGTTCCTGAGACATGCATTGCTGGGAAAGAGACGCAAGAGACACGCATTGCTGAGTGAGACACCGAGGGACCAGCACTGCTGCGAAAGAGACTGTGAGAGACTCTTGGCTGAGGGACGGTGGGCTGGGAGAGAGACTGAGCATTTTCCCTGAACTTGAGTTGTAGCCTGGTGCTTCCCTAATAAACCCTATAATCTGTGAGCTCTGTGTGGCCACTGCAGCGAATTATCGAACCCAGAGGAGAGGTGGTGGGTGCTTTGGGAGGAACGGTTGGAGAAAGGGCTGGAGGGAGGCAGCATGTTTGGCCTGGCAGGAATAGGCCTTGGGTTACTGCTGGTAATTCTGTCTTCCTCTTGTGGGATTAGAGGAGGTCAGAACATGTGACCTCCTCACTGTTTTTGCAACAGGTAATTATAAGGCGAAGAACAAACATTAAAACTCAATTCCTTGGGAAACAGTATGCTAATTTTCTTTTGACTCTTAATAACTGAGATGTGTTTTCCACTGTCTGGAACAATGATTTTCCCTAAAAATTCTAGGCAAAAGCAGTTTCCTTCTAAGTTTTAAAGACAGATACTTTTCCTGCTTGGTTTAACGTGAAGAAAGAAGTCAGCCTTAGACACCAAGAGGTACCTGTTTCATGAAACAGTCTCGCAGGTGTTTCTTTAGGTAGTAAGCGCCCACCCATTACCTTAAATATAACTTTCTTAACGTCCAGTTCCAATTTCCATAAAACCTTTCCAGGGCTAAAGGCACGAGTGACCAAGCGTCACTCAGATGAAAGTCACAGCCATCCCATCCACTTCAGAGAACCTCACAGAGCCTCAGCCTTAAGACCCGGGTGGGCCACTCGCAGGATGGCACGTGCATTCAAGCAGGATCTGAAAGGGCTCAGCCTCGGCCAGACCCATCAGGTGGCCATTCCGTGTGCTCTGTATTTGAGGTCGGAAGAGGTAACCCAGACACGGGTTTAATTCCCTCCAGGCATGCTAGAAAGTCACGTGGACTTAATGCCCCAGAAAACAGGTTTAATTCCCGTAACACGTACTTTGGACTCCAGCTGAAACTGTAAACATGGTGACAGCCACAGAAGTGGCATGTTCCAGGATAACCACAGCCGGGGCTCGGCACAGGTAGTGCACGTTTGGCAGCTGATTCAGTGCCAGAGCTGCATCTCCATCAGCCGACCGCTGCTGTGTGGGGACATCAGCCGACCGCTGCTGTATTGGGATGGTTGGCTTGTCCAGGCAACTACTTTTAAAATAAATCCAACAGTAGCCTTAACTGCTACTGCAGGTTTGCTAGGACTCCCTGCACGAGCCAAAGACGGTCAAGCTAAAGTTTCTGCAGCGACGGCTCATTCTGTGATGTGCACTCTCTCCGCGGAGGGGGGTTAAAGGACAGCGGTGGCCACACATCCTGCTTGGGAATGTCCTCTGCAGCACCTTCTGCCTGACGCGCTGCCAAGCCGCTCCTGGGCTCGGCACCCCCACCATCACAGCAGCTTCTGCACACAGAGCCCGCTCGTCAACTCCTCCAACCCTCCAACAGCCGCTGAGCCCACCACACGGTCCTCTGCCCGAGCCAGCCTGCTCACGGAGGGGTGGCACCCACACCAGCGGGTCCGAAGCCACCACCTGTCCACTCGACTATGGTCCCCTTTTGTCACGTGTTCTCACCACACCGCACACTTTTGATACTTAGACGGTGTCCTTCTTTATCCTCAAATTTTCTAAGGCATTTTTTAAGAAATGGGGCATAGATCAAGTATTTTTTTTTAATTACAAAAATTGCACATGAACACTTTATAAGGCACTCAGACCACACGTAAGCACAAGGTGTGCAGCCATGTCAGTCCCCCTGCCCTGTGGGTCCCAGGCAGCGAGAAGCCGACCCTCTCCCATCGAGGTCTATGGGCGGCGTGAGTCTGGGTGGGAAGTGCATGCCTTCTGAGGGCAGGTTCTGGAGCGGATTCAGCCTTCACCTGGCTCTCAGGACACTGAACCTTGGGACCCTGCCAGGTGCTGCGAGGAAGCCCCAAGAGGCCCATCCAGAGAGACCACGTAAAAGGCCTGCGTGGAGAGCAGCAGGCCCCCAGCCAGCAGCTACCTCTGGCCCGTGGTGGCTGGGCACACAGGACTCCCACCCCGCCAGCCTCAAGCATCCAGCTGAAGAGCCAGGCCCTGTGAAGGGAGATGAGCTGCGGACAGCAGGGCCCGCTGAAACCCTAACCCATAGAATCCAGGCAGGAAAATGGCCCTCTACCCCACTGAGCTCTGGGGCCCTGGTGGGGCATTTACAGGTGCTGTGGTTATCCTTTCCCATTCAGCCTCCAGCCAGCTTTTGTAAGAAGCTCTTGGGTGTGTGCATGTACAGGCACACTACCAGGAACTGAAAGCAGCACGCAGATGTGTGTACATGTATGTGTGTGCGTGTACAGGGATGGTATCAAACACAGAAAGCAGCATGCAGGTGTGTGTACACATGTGCGTGTACAGGGACAGTATCACACACAGAAAACGGCACACAAATGTATGTGCATGTGTGCATGTACAGTGATAGTATCATACATACAAAGTAATACGCAGGTGTGTGCACATGTGTACATGCACAGGGATGGTATCAAACGTGGAAAGCAGCACACAGGTGTTTTGTATGCGTGCATGTACAGTGACAGTATCATACACAGAAAGTACCACACAGGTGTATGTACACATGTGCGTGCACAGGGACGGTATCACATGCAGAAAGAAGCACACAGGTGTGTGTGCAGAGAGACAGTGAAACACACAGAAACCAGCATGCAGGCATGTGTACACATGTGCATGTACAGAGACGATATCACACGGAAAGCAGCACACAGGTGTGTGTACACGTGTATGTGTAGAGGAATGGTATGCGCAGAAAGCAGCAGGCAGGTGTAAGTACATGATTGTGTGTAGAGGGACGGTATAACACGCAGAAAGCAGCAGGCAGGTGTGTGTACACATGTGCGTGTACAGGGACGGTATCACACACGGAAAGCAGCTCACAGATGTGTATGCACGCATGTGTGCACAGGCAAAATATCACACATGGAAAGCAGCACACAGATGTGTGTACATGCGTGTGCATGCAGAGGGGCGGGGTCATACACAGAAATCAATATGCGTATGTGTCCCTGTACAGGTACAGTGTCATACGAGGACATGATACTGTGGGGAGAACATACACATCAAAGCATCAGCCAGCACAATTTCATGCTTATGAGTCAATGACGTCAACAACACTTTTCCTGTTGTGGCACCACTTCCGTCCTTTTCCAAAACATCGTATCACCATTAACACAACCTCAGTGCCTCCCACAAAAAGCATCTCCCCTCCTCCATGACCATTCCCCCTCCCCTCTCTCGCTGTGACCTAGCCCCCCCGCCACGACCCCTCGCCATCTTTGGTTTCTGTGTATTTGCTTATTTGTCTTTCTGGGGCAGTAACAGCTTGCAAAGGGACTTAATGACAGGGAGGACAGGCCCTTTTAGCAGTCCCAGCCCTACCTCAGCCAGCTGGGCTCCCCTCCCCACCCACTGCCAGAACAGAAAGGGTAGGAAGGGCCAGCTATTTCTCCCTCCCAGCCTGGCTAAGGCCTCTGACTTGCCCATTAGATGGGCTCCCAAAGGCCACAGTGTGTTCCTCTCTCAGCCCCCACCCTGCTCGAAGCCCAGATTAGTGCTTCACCGACAATGAACACACTGCAAAGGCTTCCTATTAAAATGACAACAAATCTTCCACGTGACTACCTCAACGGTCAGGATGTTTTCCAGCGCTCTGCTCACCCCACCCCTCAGTGACCTTTACTGAAGTCCCCAGGGGATCCAGGAACACCTGTCTCCTTTGACATGAGTCCAGAAGAACAGGATGGTGCCTACCACCAATACGGAACATTTTATACAAAGATTCCACAGACGAATCCTGATCAAAAGGGGGGAAATGACAAACAAAATTTAAAATTCTCATGGAACCTAGATTTTCTGGAGCTACTGAGGCTGGACAGTGCCTAAGGCACTTGACTGCTAACCAGAAGGCTGGCGGTTCAAATCCACCAGCCACTCCTCGGAAGGAAGATGGGGCAATCTACTTCCGGAGTGATACTGCCTCAGAAACCCAAGGAGGGGTCGCTATGAGTCGGGTCCAACTCGACAGCATGTAACAACAACAACAAACCCACCAAACTATTACCCAGAAGTAACATTTAAGCCTTAAACCAGAAATACTTCCCAAAGACTGGTTAAAACCTAGCAATGGTTAGCTATTAGTAAAGAAAGCCCACCTGGAATCCTGTAAAGAAAGCCCACCTGGAATCCTGTAAAGAAAGCCCACCTGGAATCCTGTAAAGAAAGCCCACCTTGAATCCTATGCGCTCTTTTAAGGATCTATATGGCACCAGACTGACAATTTAAAAGGTCAGACAGCAAACTGAGGGAGCAGTGAGTTTATGCCAATGGGGAAGGAAGAACTCAGAAAAGCAGGCTGAGGATGGCTGTGTAACTCGAAGAATGTGGTGGTTACGTTTGTGTGTCAATTTGGCTGGGCCTGGTTGAGTGGCTGGACAACTGGATGCAGTATTCCCCATGATGAGGCTGGTAATCAACTCCATGTGGAATCTACTGGGAGCAGCTGAGTAGCCTTTGGGTTGTGGTCTGCTTCCTGTGTATAAGATGCCGCCTTGGGAATAGTCTCCAGCTATGGCACGCTTGAACCCTGCATGTAGCGTGCTGTTGTTCGGCAGCCTGCCATGCTCTGCCAACCTTGGGACTTCCAATGGATTTGAATTAATGGCCTGCTGTGTGGTTTGTCACCCCTGGGCTTGTCAGCCTCAGCAGTCAGCAGCTGAGTGAAGAAAAGCCTCTAGCTTCAATAGGCCAGGAGCAGGAGACAGAGCCCAAGGTTGAGGGGCTTTCACCCACTAGGGCCTGGGACTTTGAATTCAGACTTAAAGCCTCCAAATTATAAGAATAAATGCCTGTTTGTCAAAGCCATCCCATTTGTGGTACATTCTTGTCAGAGCGGCACTATGTAACCAGAACAATCATCGAAGTCACTGAGCTAGATGGGGAAAACAAGCACATCGGTGTACATCCTGCTGTGCAGATCTTCAACCACCAAGAATGAAACAGAATAAATTACCAAAAAAAAAAAAAAACCCAAGTGAAATCCCTGTTTGATCCTGGCACCAAAGAACCACTGTCTGCTGAGTCTACTTCCTCCTTGTCCTCCTCCACGTGATGGGAGGAACAAGGCTTCCATCAACCCACAGTGCCAGGAACGCAGATCACACTCACAGCTTCCCACAGCGGGTGTCCACCAGCACGTCCCCCGCCAGCTCCTGTTTTCCCTTCCTTTGCCCACCCTTAACTCCAGGTCCTAAGGGCACTGTGTGGGCCCTCACGGAGCTGCTCTCGGCAGTAAGTCCCCACACAGAGCGGAAGCACGCAACAATAATGAGGCACAGGGAGGCCCAACCAGCAGCAGGATGGGCCACGGCCAACGCAGAGCGCCCGGTCTCCAGCTGCCTCTCGCTGACAAAGCTCGGACACAGCCCTGCCCCTCACCCACCTCAGCTCCATCACTGGCGCAAACAGCATGCTGAGCAGTGCCGGCAACCCTGGGATGTGTGGCATCACTGAGGTCTCTCTCAGCAGCATGGTGGACCCTGTGGGTGGGTCTCAGGCTCAGTGACCAGCCCCGTAGCCCCAGAGTCATTCCCAGCCCAGGCTGCCCCACAAACCCACCCCAAAAGCTAAGGGCACCCTGTCCTGCGTGCCCACAGCAACCTACAGCGGACACCTCACTACAAGGCTCTGGATAGCTCTCTCCTTCCTCTTTCTCTTTGGTGACTATGAGGTTTTCCAGGGCTCGGTACTTGGGCTTGCCCTCCTCTGTAGCCAAGCTCTGGGGAGGGAGAACAAAGAAAAAGCAGACGGCCTTGGGTTACCAGTTGCGTTGACCAAAAGAGACGCAGCGACCAGCATTCTCTGGTGAAGGTCCTCAGGGGCATCACTGATGATGATGGAGTTGATGCTCTCCTTTTCAATCCAGACACATCTAGGAGAGACAACCATCAGGGGACAAGGGCGACCTGACCTGCAGCTACGCAGCCTGCCAGGCCCAACCCTCCACCAAGACGTTTTAAAGTCAGCAGCCTGCCGCCCACGAACCATCCCCTCTCCTTCATGACCACCTCCCCTTCACTCAGGACCTGCTCACAGTGGGGCCACAAGCGGACAGACTCTCCCGCTCCTTCACCCCTCCCGGGTGGTGCAACCACTGCCTGGCTCTCAGGACAGCTGCATGCTGACCACTCAATCCCAGCACTCTGCTGTGACCCCATCACTTCTGTGGAGGCACCGACTGTGTCTTGCCGGGTAGTTTCTCCCAAGCTGTAAACCGTTCCTGGCACACAGTGGGTGCTCACAGGCCATATACACTTCAGGCACACAGTGGGCGCTCACAAACTGTACACTCTTTCTGGTACACAGTGGGTACTTACAGACTGTACACACTTCCTGGCACACAGCAGGTACTCACAGGCCAGACACACTTCTTGGCACACAGTGGGCCCTCACAGACCATATACTATTCCTTGCACACAGTGTGTGCTCATAGGCCATATACACTTCCTGGCACACTGTGGGCACTCACAGACCATACACTCTTCCTGGCACCCAGTGGGCACTCATAGACTGACTGAATTACAATTATAACAAGAACAGAAAAAATGAAGTCTTTGACGAAAGACACTCAAAGATGTCTTACACAGAATACCTTTCATGCAAGAGGGACAGAACACTTCTGATCTAGAGTGAGGGGAGAAATTAGGAGGAGTTAGGAGAGAGAACACACTACAAAAATTTAGACGTGAAGATTAGTTTCTGCTGAGTTCCATAAATAGATGAACAGATAAACAAAAATCCCATGCAAAGTTAAATCAGTCACACCTGAACTTGGATATTCTGGTCAAACTGTGACACTTCAGCTCGTAAGGATTAAAAGGCCCACGAAGCACCGCCTTTAAACACAAAACAGACAAAGTACAGCCAATAAGCAAGAGGACGCCTGATACGTGTCTATAAAATCCACAAGCCAGCCTGCATTTGTTCTTAAGAAGCTACGTCTAAATTATGACTCCACGAGTCCACGAGAAAGGTCTTCAGAGGCTGTTCTTCTAAGCTGCACCTGATTGCTTCCATGAAGATTTCACTAGCATTCCTCAACACACACATTTAAGAAAACCTTTAGCCAAACAAAAGGAGACACTGCCAAATAATGCAGTGAAAGTAAACCTTCGTTAATCGTGGTGTAGTAGTAAAGCACTTAGCTGCTAACCAGAAGGCTGGTGGTTCAAACCCACCAGCTGCTCAGTGGAAGGAAGATGAAGCAACTTACTTCCAGAAAACCAGCGGGAGTCACCATGAGTCAGAACTAACATGATGGCAATGGGTTTGGTTTTTGGTTTTGTTCATTGTAACAGACCAAGCAGCCAAGTGGGGTGACCAGAGGCAATCCCCAGGGAGCTCCTGAGCAGGAAGGACAGCTCCCCAGTCCTCTTCTCAAACAGAAGCAACAGATGCCTTAGACCCAGCAGGTGCCTGGGGGTCCCAAGCCCACCGAGGGGCTGGTCCAGAAGAGAAGTCAACCCAGTGCAACCCCCATCTGACACACAGCACACTCTGCCTGTGGAGAGGAGGTCAAAAAATAAAACCCACCCACCAACACTGTCCTCTACCCGGAGACCGTGGCTGTGTCTTTCCATTACAGGCTCCATTGTAGGGCAAGCGATGCTCAGCATTCAACACTGCAAAAGGCGCGGGCCCAGTACCAGCGGCTACACCTCCGAGCACGCCGACGCAGAGTCCCCAACGCGGCCCACAGGTTACCTTACAGTTTGGAGCACCCAGCTGATGAGAACAGCAGCTCTCTAACAGAATCTGGACCAGGTAGTTCTCGTTCTCCTTCATGGGAGATGGCACCGACCTGTCTGTCCCAGGGCTGTTCTCCACTGATTTGGAAAAGAGACCTTTGAGAACTTCATGGCTTTGCTGAAAAAAGAAAACCTTATCAGAGAAACATTACATCAACAACACTTTATCCCAACCCAGTCACACCACTTCACAGACATGATCTTGTTTTCACTGGTCACCCAACCCTTCATGTGCAGCAGTTAACTCATCAAGCACATTTTAAAATGCAAACAAAACAAACAAGACAGGGTCAGAATGGCTCCATCACCCTCCCCTGCCACCACCTTTCAGCCAGCAGAGAATTTAAAAGAGAGAGCAGCCAACCACAGACAGAACATTTTCATACAAAAGTCTGGTTTCCAATTGGGAATACTACCATTGTTCCCTGATGCGTTTTCCACATATTTAAACACAGCATTAAAGAGAAGATCAAAATATTCCTTACGCAGGCAGACAAACTGGCCAATAAAATAAGCACTCTCCTGGGGGCCCCCACCCGGACCGCACCCCAGCAGAGTGAACACCTCCTCTCCATTACCAACCATCAGGCTGTGTCTGTGCCCAGATCACACTGTACGGACACGAAACAGTGAATGGGAATGCGTGAAAAACACCACCAATCTGTAGCCTGCCCTTCCTAAGAGGCCCAGGTGACCCCTTACAAAAAGGGGCATTGAGGGCAGCAGCTTCTGCCCTCCTCTAACTTCACAAGAAGAAGACAGAGTCACCATCAGAAGCCCAAGGCAGATTCCTATGAGGCCAGACACACTGTCACCCTCCAGCCTTTGACCAATTCTGACAACAACCACCCCTCCTACAGCACTTACTACTTCTCTGCTGGGTTTGATACTCATTGCAATAGCCACACAGAACTCATAGACAACACTCACAATTATGGGGTTTATTAGGGAAGTAACAGGTTACAATTCAGGTTCAGGAATGTGCTCAGGATACAATTCTTCGATCAGGACAGTCTCCCCTGTTATGCCCTCAGGCACACCTCTCTGGCCCTTGGCCTCTTGGCCTGGCCTCTGCCCTGCTTGAGCAAGTGTTACAAAGCTCTTTTAGCTCTGCCGACAGGTACACCTATGTGTACCTCACTCTGCCAGCAAGCCTCCTATCCAAATGCACTCGGCTTTCTTGCTGCATAGGCCAGAGGGCCTGTTGGTCTATCTCATGCCTCATGGTTCCACGGTCACCATCTCACAGCCACGTGGGCCTCTGCAGGGTGTCTCTCTCAGCCGGGTGTCTCTCTGTCAGAAGTCTCACAGCCACAGAGGTCCAGCATAAGGATGTCAGGTCCAAGGACACGCTCCACTTCATCTCTAGCTCATCACTCCTGATGGCAGTGAGATCTTCCCTTCTGCCTCTAGGAGGGCTCACATGAAGCCTGGCAGAGTGACGTAACTAACCAATCCCAACATCAATGTTATACACACCTTATTTGCATGGACCCACCCAGTAATCCAGTGGGAGTTACCAAGACTATGGCTAGAAAAACCATACCAAGTCGCTATCCTGTACCCCTCCACCCTAAGGCCCTGTGTACAAGTGTCCAGTATAGAGGCGCTGAAAACCAGAAAGCGTGAGGGCTCACAAAGCATCGTGGGCCACTGCCTTCACAGTGAGGGTCCGTCACTTCTTACAAGGGGACACACACAGCTGGCTTGAGAGTGCCCTGCACAGGGCAGGCTGCTCCTTCCTGTCCCCCAAACGTGCTCATTCCCCACAAGCAGGCACTGCTCATCAAATCTCAGGAATATATAGCATCCTGCCTTAAACTACATGACACAGGTACAGAACGAAGGAGGCCTTCACATCTGGAGCAGTGGAGACAGAGCAGAGGACACAGAGGGGCTCAGAGAGCCACGGCCACACAGAGGGCCACACAGAGGGCCCGGAGAGCCACGGCCACACAGAGGGCCACACAGAGGGCCACACAGAGGGCCCGGAGAGCCACGGCCACACAGAGGGCCTGGAGAGCCACGGCCACACAGAGGGCCACAGAGGCAAGGTCCAACAGGAGGCCACACGTGCTACAGTGCCACCGTACTCCTGGGCTGTGCTAAGCACCGTAACTAACGCTACTGGTCACCAGCTCTCAGGAGAACATCTCGTGAGGCTGCTGGTCCCCTCCTCAAGGCAGAAATGACAGACTCAAAAGACTTCCAGCATCAACCTCCACAGTGAACTCCCCTCGTTGAAGCCCACAGACCAGCAAAGGGAGCTCTGCAACAGAGAGCCAAAGAAACAGCTCAACAAAATTTTGAAACGTTCGAAATACATGAAGCAAATGTTTAGTAACCACTAACTTCTAGGGAGACCAAGCTTGGAATCCAAACTTTAAAAGAAAACCCATCAAACAAAAAACTTCAGCAAATACAGGACATTTTAATCTAGGTTTGATTCCAAGGACAAAAACCAGAGCAGCAAACAGGGAACCAACAGAAACCCCACGAAGCCACCAGAATGCTGTCTCAAAGAAACTGAGAAACATCAGGCCCCACCCAGGGTCCCAGTGGGGAGGTGTACCACCCATCCACTCGGCCCCAGGCACACATATGGACACCCCCGCAGCTGGGGCGCATCAAGCACACGCATGCACATTCACACAGACACCACCCACCCACCTTCTCAGCTGGGGCTGGGCACACACATGCACGGTGCACACATGCACACACACCAGCAGGTGCCAGCGTGCGTACCTTGGACTCATAGGACTCCTCTGTGAACTCAGCATAGCCCTCCTGGATGAGGACGTCCCTCACGTTGATGGTGTCCTGAACTCCTGAGCACCGGTACACATCCACCCGCAGGACGCCGTGTACCACGGAGAAGACCTTCACGAGGAGCTCACAGTCGCGCACCAGGGAGGCAAACCGCTGGCTGGCCCTGCAGCTCCAGCGCTCACCGCATACCAGGGACTGAGCCGATGGCCGCATCTGGCAGATCTTAAACTCCAAGGCCTGCAGGACAGGGCGGCATGGCTGACACGGCCAGTGGTGGACACAGCCCCCCAACCACCTCATCACGTATGTCTCTGGCACACATCTCACTGCCACTCCCAGAAAACCCCCTGGAATCGACTCCACACTATGTCACAATGTCCTAGTTAAAGACACGCATTTTTCTTTTTCATCAGGACAGTGGAGAAACCTGGAGCATGTTTTCTCACTTACAGAAACAGTATGTTTTTTCCCCCAACCCACTCCACTGGAACCTGAGACAGAGTCAGAAAACACTACTGAAGTTTAAAACTAGGACTTGTTTGCTACGTTTGAAGCCCTCCATATATTTTAAGTCACTCTAAAAACAGTATTAGCAAATGCATCTATGGCAACATGCTCTGAGGGGGAAGCAGTCCCCGAGTAAGGTTGGTGTGACCAAAAGCACTTCCCACTCTGGGCCTCAGCCTCCGTCAGCAGAGGTGGACCCCAGAGCTACCAGAGCCCCTTCCAGTTTCACACACTCACAGGCTCAGACCTTCTGGCCTCACCTGAAATGGAAGCTCCAGAAACTGACAGGGGATCTCCATTAAAAGGTCCAGATCCACACGGGCCCGGTTGCCGTAGTCGACAAAGAACACCTGAGGAGAGAGAAGCCTGAGCTCTGGCGCCGTGCACACCCCACAGGACCGGGCCATGGGAAGAGCACACTACCAGAAGTTCTCACTGTGACAATCTTATCCTCGCTCCATCTAGAATTCTGGGGGCCGTCTCTGAGCTGCCCACTCCACGGTTTGTCACGGGAAAGCGTACCTCAGCAACCACCCCGCGGTTTGTCACGGGAAAGCGTACCTCAGCAACCACCCCGCGGTTTGTCACGGGAAAGCGTACCTCAGCAACCACCCCGCGGTTTGTCACGGGAAAGCGTACCTCAGCAACCACCCCGCGGTTTGTCACGGGAAAGCATACCTCAGCACAGGGTCCAGACACGTACAGGATCTGCGCTCTGAAGTAGCGTTCACCATCCGAGTCGGCGAAAGGTGCCAGGCAGACCAAATCCGGGTGGGGGTGGAGGGCCAAGGGCACCAGCTGCAGCTGGTTTATTTCAGCAGTGAGCTTCTGCAGAAGCGTTGCACTCCCCTCATCAACCCTGTACCCCCAGAAGTGCCCCACTTCAACCACCTGAAGGGAAGACACAGGAGACGCAGCGTGAATCCACAGCCAGAGGACGCCGAGCTAGAGCAAGTGGGTTGATGCCCAGCTCAGACAGCATCACACACTCAGCACTCCCTGGTGCCTGAGGACTCTACAGGCTGCCAGCAGGTCAAGGAGGGGGAGGAAAAGGGCAGCCCCGGTCAGCCACGGTGGGAAGCTGGAGACTCTCAGTGGCCACATAATTAAAAACACCTCTGGTCTCTGGTTAGCCCAAAGCAGTAAGCCCAGTGGTTCCAGGGCCTGGCAGGTCCCTGCCAAAGCGCTAAAGGCCAGAGTGGGGCACTCGAGGCCCATGGATGAGCATCACCCATTAAGGAACTGGACAGAAGTGGGAGTGGGTGCCTCATCAACAGGCTCTCACTGAGCAGCTCCTGCCCAGGGTGCCAGGGGCCCAGACAGTTTTACACATCATCTCCCAGAGGAGGTGTGGCTACACATTGATTTGGAAACACTCATTTCAATCAGAATTGTCTTTTAAGGAAAATCCCTAAGGAATAATACTGTCAGTTCTGTTTTGTCGATGAAACCAGAATTTTATAGGCAAGTACCGTTATGTCCACACACATACCTTGTTGCAGAAAGCGATGTGCATTTTCAACCACCTAGCCAGTGTTTTAAACATTCAACATTGATTTGGCAATCCACACCAGTGCCTCCCTTTCTATGTCAGCCACCCTTGATTCAACAAAGATAGCATTTCAAGCCCACCCATGCTCCCAAGGTGATGAAAGGGCAGAGGCTGTGTGCGTGCATGTGTGTGTATGCATGTTTCTGGCTGCATGTGTGTGTCCCCAAGAATGCAGCCAGAGTGCTCTTACCTCTGTGACATCAACAGTCAGGAGAAGACTGGTGACTGACTGTGACCTGTCCAGTGTATTGAAAGAGACTTGCATGGGGTCCATGGTCTGCTTCTGGAAGTCCACATTTACCCTGTGTGATAATGATTTTTCCAAAAGACAATTAAAAATCAAGTGTTACACACTGATATGTGTGATGTTATTCTGTGAGGAGCCCTGTACAATCAGGGCTCTCAAAGGGCCTTAGTTCCAAACCAGGCCCTGCAGTGTCCTAAGTGGGCTTCACAGGTGGGCAGCTCTGGCCTCGCCTCACGGTAAGGACTCATGCTGGCTCAAGTGATTCTCTCTAGCCCTTAAAACACCTGTCTCCCCCAGAGCAGTGAACAGCCAGTGCTAGATTCGGAGAGTAAGACAAATCAGATAAAAAATAAGATGCTCCCAAAATCTGTATTCTAAACTGAGGGGAAAACTTACATTACAACTGCTGACCCAACTCATTTTCCGATTTTCGGGTCCATTTAGTAAATGTGGTGGCTTGGGCAAAGTTCCACACATTCAGGCACAGACGTGTGTCAAGCCTGGCTTTTAGAAAGCAGGACAGGAAGTCCTAGCCAGGGCAGTAAGGCAAAAAAGGGAAATCAAAGGCATGCAAATTGGTAGAGAAGAAGTCAAACTATCCCTATTTGTAGATGACATGATCCTAGACATAGAAAACCCAAGAGACTCAGCAAGAAAACTACTGGAACTAATTCAAAGATTTAGCATAGTATACAAAATTAACATACAAAAATCAGCTGGATACCTCTACACCAGCAAAGAGGTCTCTGAAAAGGAAATAAGGAAATCAATACTATTTATAATAGCTACCAAAAAGATAAAATACTTAGGAATAAATCTTACCAGGGACACAGAAGACCTATACAAAGAAAATTACACTACTTTAGGAAACTATAAGAGATCTACATGAATGGATATGTTCTGGGACAGGATGATAGAACACTGTGAAAATGCCAATTCTAACCAAAGCATTTAATGCGATTCTGATCCAGATTCCATCAGCATTCTTTAAGGACATGGAAACAACAATTACTAGTTTTATATGGAAAGGGAAGAGACTTCAGATAGATAAATCACTACTGAAGAAGAAGAACAAAGTAGGAGGTCTCCCAGATCTCAAAAGCTACTGTCAGCCACAGTTGTCAAAATAGCCTGGTATTGGTACAGTGACAGACACACAGACCAGTGGAACAGAACTGAGAACTCAGAAATATATCCACCCACCTAGAGTCAGCCGATCTCTGACAAAGGGCTGAAATGCATTGAAAGGGGAAGAGATGGTCTCTTTCACAAATGGTGCTGGCAAAATTAGACATCCATTTGCAGAAAAATGAAACAAGATCGATCCCTCACAGCATACACAGAAACTACCTGCAGAAGGATCAAAGACTTAAATGTGAAACCTAAAACTGTAAGTTCCTCAAGGAAAAAACAGGAGCAAACTTAGGGGCCCCAATTTATGGCATCAACAGACTATCAAGCATAACCACAAACACACAAATAGCAGAGGAGAAACTAGATGAATGGGACCTTCTAAACATTGCTTCCAAAGATTTCTCCAAAAGAATAAAAAGAGAATCTATAGATTGGGAAAAAATATTTAGCAACAACATGTCTGACAAGGGACTTATTTCTAGAAATCACAGAACACTCCAACAACCCAACATCAAAAAGACAAACAATCCAATTAAAAAATGGGCAAAAGACATGAACAGACACTTCACCAAAGATATTCAGGCGGCCAACAAACACATGAAGAAATATTCTCAAACATTAGCCATTAGAGAGGTGCAAATCAAAACAACAATGAGATACCATCTTGCCCCCAGCAATAGCAAAGTTCAACAAGACAGAAAATAAATGCTGGCGAGGATGTGGAGAGACTGGAACTTTCATACACTGCTGATGGGACTGTAAAATGATACAACCACTGTGGAAAGCAGTATGGCAATTCCTTAAAAAGTTGGCATTAGAAATATCATTAGACCCAGCCACTCCATTACTAGGTATATATCCTAAAAAAGGGAGAGCCAGGACACAACTAGGTATGTGCACACCCATGTTCATCGCAGCACTATTCACAACAGCAAAGAGATGGAAACAACTTGAAGCGTTCGTCAATGGAGGAATGGATAACCAAACTGTGGTACATACACACAATGGACTATGATGCAACACTAAAGAATCATGTAGAATCCACAACCACCACATAACTTAGATGAACTTGGAGAATATTATGCTGAGTGAAATAAGTCAATCCCAGAAGGACAAATACTGTATGAGTTCACTACCATGAAAAGTCAAGGAAAGGTGTATACATGGAAGGCAATGCTCTTTGTTGGTTACCAGGGATGGAAGGGGAAGGGAGGGAACACAACACAGCTAGATAGGTATGAGACAAGTATTGATACGGGTGAAAGGAAAGGCAATATACCAAACTGTGTGAATAACACTAAGGAAAAGGAAGACACAGAGAGGTGGACGAGAGGTAAAGACAATAAAGATAAAGCCTTTTACATATACAATACTGCGTTATCAGGGATAGCAAACAGTCTATGGGAATTAGATGGATAGACAGGCAGGCTGAATGACCAGGTATGTCTAGACAAAAGGGAGTATCCCCATGACCCTATCTAAGGTTTGCAAATGATATTTCTATGTATTTGCATGTGTTGTAAAAATGTCCACATAAAACCTGGAGGAAGGGAAGCCCCTGGCAGGCTCAGCCTGCCCTGCCCTCACGGTGCCTCCAGCTTCAGGCGGTGGATGTGAGGAGCCCATCATTAACACCAGAGATTGCCTTCCACAGAGACCAACAAACGCGTGTGCAAACATGAAGTCCAACCCTGCTATCCAAGCATCATCAACCTCACAGCGGGGGCTGCAGGGGGCACTGCATGTGTCCTGACTGGGCAGCCCTTTGACACAAGGAAGGGAAGATGCAGACATCCCCCACCCTGTACAGGGGCTTCACTGACTGCTGCCTGAAGACCTCCTCCCAGGTGGGATTCCAGGGCTTCTACAAGGGCACCAACCCAGCACTGACCACCAACATCACCAAGAACTCTGTCTCCTTCATGTGCTACAGCTTCTGCCAGCAGGTGGTGAGGAAAGTGATTGGGCTGGACCACAGGCAAAGCTGGGCGACCTTCAGGACGCAGCCGCCGGGTCCCTGGCCTCCACATTTGCTGTCCTGCTGCTCTGCCCCACTGAGCTCATGAGGTGCTGGCTGCAGATCACATCAGGAAAGACAGCAACAAGCCAGGATACAGTCTGGTCTGCTGTGAAGAGTATCCTTAGGAAGCACGGCCCCTTGGGTTTCTCCCATGGACCCTCAAGCACTTTACTTCCAGAAGTACCAGACTATTTCTTCCTCTTCCATGGCTATGAACTGAGCCGATCGTTTTTTGCATCAGGGAGATCAAAAGATGAACTAGGCCCTGACCCTTTGATGCTACGTGGTAGAGGTGTTGGAATTTGCCTCTGGCTGGCTATATACTCAGTGGATTGTATCAAATCCAGAATTCAGGTTCTTTCCATATCTGGAAAACAGGCAGGATTTATCAGAACCTTTGTAAGTGTTTTGAAAAATGAAGGAACAGCGGCTTTGTACCCTGAACTGAAACCGACTGTGACCCGTGCGCTGGCTGCCAATGGGGCCCTGTTTTTGGCCTATGAATACGCAGGAAGTTGACGGTGAGCCAGCGTGAAGCACACTGAGGTGCTCTGTGAACCTGGACCCAAGCATATCTTTGAGGACTACAGTTCATCCCAGGGTTTCACCGAGTGCAAGACCTACGTGGAATTATTTTGACTTCGTGAGAATTTTATGTTTTTGTCTTCTCTTCTTCTACCCCAAATCTTAAACTTTATGGAAAGGCTTCTAGTTTACATCATATGAAGTCTGCCTGTAATTGGACTGAGACAGAAAACTTGCTGCTCCTCCCCTGGTGAAGTGCACAGGCTCGAAGGGCAGGCCAGTGGCCTTGTGTGCCTACTCTGAAAGGCTAATGGTCTTTCAGGGCATTTGCTCGAACCTGTATATGAACTTGGGAGTTTTCATGGTTATGTGCTATAAAACACAATTGCATTCTACATTTCATCTCAAATATTGCCAGAAAAAATCCAGAGTCGAGCATATTTCATGAAGATGGTTATAAATGATTGCTTAGCCCATTTAAGACATAAAGTCACTTTTAAAGTCTGCTTAACATGTGCATTATACTAAGCAGTTTCTTAAAAAAAAAAAAAAAAAAAGAAGAAGAAGAAGGTCCATATAAATAGAACAAACAGGGAGCAAAGTTACGGTAACTTCTTAGCCATAGTCAACCACCCTGACGGATGAGTTGCCGGACCTGTGGACTCAAATCATGGTCACAGGGGACATCAGGCTCAACTGGTGTAACGTACTACAGAAAGATATTGTCCTGCATCCTACTTTGGTTGGTAACAACTGGGGTCTTAAAAGCTTGCAAGCATGCGTCTACATGCAATAATTAGTCGGCAGCAAAGAAGAATGAAGACACCCAAAACCACGAGGAAGCAAACAGTCCAAGGGGCAAGTGGACCATGTAAACCTGAGACAGAAGGACCACATGATGGTCAGCGACCCATCAACCACTCGGAAAGGGGTCAGTGCAGGAGATGCTGGATGGAGTGGGACAACGACATGCAGCAAAACTCCAATCATGAAAAAGACCAGGCTGACTGGTCTGACACAGCCTGATGAGACCCCGAAGACTATGGGCACCAGTCACCCCTTCAAGCCTGGAAGTGAACTCACTCCTGTGGCTTCCAGCCAAACAACAGACAGGCATATACAGTGAACATTTACACCAGGTAGGTACACTCCTTAGAACAATCAATCACGGGAGATCAGAAGGCAGTATTTGCACAGGGAGACAGCTCAGGAGGCAGGAAAGCAGAGGAAAGGAGGATACAGGGAAGAGGCAACTACAGGGAGGAAGTGAGAAGAGAGCTGTTACACTGCGGGGAAATGCAGACAATGTCATGAAGCAAACTGTGCATGAACTGCCTTGTGGAAAACGAATTTGCTGTGTGAACTTTCACCCAAATCACAATAAAAATATTTTTAAAAAAGTAAGCAGGATACGTTTACCTCATGCCACAAACCAAACCCACAACACTGCCTAACCCCCAACACCAGAGCCTCACACCCTGCCTGCCGCAACACTGTTTAAGCCCCAACACGCGGCCTGCAAGAACGGGACATGTCTCCTATTCCCCAGCAATCCCTCAAATCCCTGTCAGATTCCTCATGGGATGAGGAAGGTCACAGATTGGCAACAGTGAATGAAACTTCCTAAGCACACAACTGCAAAACTGTGGCCCGAACTCTCATCTACTACTGGTGGGACTGTCAAATGGTACCACCACTGTGGAAAGCAGTATGGCGATTCCTTAAAAAGCTGGAATTAGAAATACCATTTGACCCAGCAATCCCATTACTAGTTATATATCCTAAAGAAGTGAGAGCCAGGAAAGGAACAGATATATGCACACCCATGTTCATCACAGCACTGTTTACAATAGCCAAAAGATGGAAACAATCTAGGTGTTCATCAACTGAGAAATGGATAACCAAACTATGATACATATACACAATGGAATCTTATGCAACCCTAAAGAATAACATAGAATCTGCAAAACACCGCATAATGTGGACGAACTTGGAGGACATTGTGCTGAGTCAAATAAGTCAATCACAGAAGAACAAATACAGTAGTAGTTCACTATTGTAAAAAGCCCAGGAAAGGTTTATATATGGAAGGAAAGTTTCTTTGCTGGTTACCAGGGATGGGAGGGGAGGGGAGAGAACACTGCAAAAATAAATAAATAAATGACAGAGAGAAAGAAAGAATGTGGCCCAAAAGCAAAGCTGTAATAAACCCTAAGAGTGGTGTCAAGTGGTCCCAGAAGAAGGACCAAAAGCTGAGGGGCCACCAGAGCCAAGGCTGCCTATGCCAGAGCCCATGTGTGGGGGAGAGCCCATGCCCCCACCAGTAAGGGGTGGGAGGGCAGCTTCCCAGGGAAGGCTCCTAGCTGCACCTCTAACTTGTCCCACCTGCCCTGCTGAGAGCCACTTTGTTTAAAAAGAAAATTCGCAAGAGAACATGTGTAACCGGTGGGGGAGGGAGGAACATTACACTGAATCCCTACTATTGAAATTGAAAACTGTGTAGAGGATGCCACTCAACCCTTTCATGCCCTGAATGCCAGCAATCACGTCTGTATAAGAGATGAAGAAGCCGGCATCACGAGCTTCGGTGACGTGCCCAGGTGCACATAGCAAGGGGACAAGAAGCAGGAGGAAGCAGCAGGGGTGTGGCTCACGGTGCCCGGCAGCTGAGAGAGGCTGGGCACTGTCGCTTCCGGTAACAATGAGAACGCAAAAGCAAATACCTCGTGTTCCTGAGCTTTGACACGGCCCCTCCTCGCACCTTCCCTTCAATCTCTTCTGCGGGGTGCACGCTGAGTTCCAGGGGGACCCTCAGCTGAGGCATCTTCAGCGCCAGGTAGACCGCAGGAAGCGTTTTAAATCTCTCTGTGGGATTACGAGAAAACTCCACAAAGGCTCTGCTCCACAAAGAAAATAAACAGGAAACTGATCAGAATCTGAAACAGGAACGGATGCATCCACAAACTCAGGGAGAATTTCAGGGTTACGTCTCCCCTCAGGGTCTCCCCTCAAAGGGCCAGTGACACTCACTGCGACTAGTCAGAGTGACGGGTCTAAGGGACAATGATCCACTGAAGGGAAGCAGAAATTACAGTGACATCTCATCACAGGATGTGTTTTTGTACATCACACTTCAAGAAAAAGGTAAGTCTGTTTAACCCTTTAAAATTTTAAAGCACATCAACACACTTGTGAGGGACGTGGGTGTGTTATGTTACTGTCCCTCCTGCAAGGTAAAGGGAGCAGGGCCAACTGGTTCCAAGTGACTGTCTGAGCCACACTGCCTGTCAGAGCCTGAGCCTGGAGCCATGTGGTGTGTCTCTCCACAGACAGCCCCACAAGCAGGCTCGCCCTGCACACACCTACACTTCCCAGTCAGCACTCAGCCACACAGCTCCTCTGTGCCACCAACCCAACACCCGCCCTCCACCTGCCCTGAACAGTCGCCCAGCCCACCTCATCCTTGTCCACATGCAGTCCCGTGGGGACGCAGCTGCTCCTTCTCCTTGGACCCTCAATCTGAGCACTGTCACAAGCTTCCCTGTCACACTTCACAATCGACAAATAACATTGGTGGTGCTGCCTTCACCCTGAGCACCTGCCACCAAGCGGAAGGCGTCTTACAGGAGAGAGCCCTGGGAGCTGGGAGCCACCTGCACACAGCCAGCCTGTCAGGTCCCTGCTCTCTGACCACTCCTCTCATCTGCTCCTCATCTTGAAGAAAACACACGATACACAAGAATTGCCGCTGGAAGACCAGAAGGAACGTGGCTCCTTCCACATGCATCAGCAGGCCACTGGCACTGTAACTAGGAAGACAGAAATGTGGGGCATCCGGTGGAACATGCTTAACCTCTGCAAGGGTCCAAGGCGAGAGGAAGGTGACACCCACTCAGAACACAGTCCAGGAGCAAAGGGTACCAAGAGGCACTCCAGCCCTGGTGGCAGCTCTCACTTCCGACAAGTCAAGCCAGTCCTAGGATGCACATGTGGATATAAATGCTACCTATACACGTGGATTTCGCCTGATGGAATACACACTGATCAGATCGACTACATCTGTGGAAAGAGGCAATGAAGAAGCTCAATATCATCAGTCAAAACAAGGCCAGGACGTGACTGTGGAAAAGACCATTAATTGCTCATATGCGAGTACTAGTTGAAGCTGAAGAAAATTACAGTTAAGTCCATGAGATTCAAGATATGACCTTGAATATATTCCACCTGAATTTAGAGACCATCTGAAGAACAGATTTGATGCTCTAAATACCAGTGACCAAAGACCAGACGAGTTGTGGGATGACATCAAGAACATCACA